AGTTCGTTATGGCCAGAGTTCGTTATATTAAGGTTCGTTATATCCAAGAGTTGTATTTTGTGGAACAATCTAGAAATGGAATCTAGAATAATTCTGCTGACGATCATTACCAAATAAGGTGCGATTGGCATTGACCAAATTTGGTATATTCTCTGACTATATATTAAAGAGAAACACTTTAATCTGTTACTTATACTCAAAATATATTTAAAATCAGTTATTAATCTTGTAATTTAATACATTACTGTAATTTTTAGCAAGAATTATGTTTTTTTAATTAAGTTTAATTCTGGAATATTATATTAAATTGAAATATTTCTTTAAATCATATAGTGTCTCATAAGCAGTACATATATATATAAATCTTATATAGCTATTTAGATAATTATCCAGATGGCTATCTAAATTATTTTTAGACATCCAGATTTGTATCTACAGGTTGAATTAAATATCCAGATATCCAGATCATCTTCAGATATCCAAATGTTTAGTTAAACAGATCCAAACACTAGTGTGTAATGCTTTTTATTGATCTAAATTTTTTGTGCAGTTTATTGGATACAGTAGTAGATGTTCCTAGGTTTGATTTGGGTTCAGTTTGGGTTTGATCAAACTAGGCTCAAACTTAAATCAAATCATGAATTTTGGCAATAGTTTGATGCGCTTGCTATACCCAGATTAGAATCTTCTCATTCAGAATTTGGCTGTTCCAGATGAGAATTTTGTGACTAAATTAGGACTTAATGATTAGACTAGAGTTGGAATTAGTATGATTCGAGTTGAAATTACAAAATTCTTATCTGATACTATTTGAATTCTGAATTAGATGATTCCAATTCGGGTATAATATATATATATACCTGTTGAGTACTTGTTTCCATTCTCTGGGTCTCTATTTTTTTTATTGTCTTATTTCAAAATCTGTACTATGCCAATTTAATGGATTATATCTACTAATGATTTTTTCTGAGTTTTGAACTTTAATTATAATAACTGTTGGTCTTTTATTATTGCATTTGCTATGGAACTTATCAATGCTAAAATCTTCAAGGCTTGTATGATAAATTAGATCAAATTTGAAAGATATATCTTTAGAATGATAGTGCTCTTCTTGTTTTTTATTGTAAATAGTAATATTGAATATATTAGCTGATTAATTATAAGAATGTAATTGATTAAGTTTTGTTCAATAAATTATCTGATGTTAAATAAATTGGCAAAGGTGAATTCGGCTCTTACATTCAATAATCTGATTGGATGGTATATGAAAAGTTGATAGTTGTAATTGATTATACAATTTGGCTTCGTTTTGCTCAAGATATTGGCCAGTTCTAAGGAAAAGAATTTTAATTTTTTAAAAGAAGTTAATTTACTGCTTTTAAAATTTAGATTATGAAATATAAATTAAATAATAGTATATTTACAATATATAGAATAACTCAAAATCAAGAAAAAATGAATACTTTAAGGTATTTCAGTATGTTAATAATGAAAATAAGGAATAAACTTATGTGAAAGACTAAATTACGAATGCTTAAAAGAGTTATACTCTATTCATAGCTGGTAGAAATTTAGAGATATTGGTTGCATTATCATTAACAATCCATTACACAATAGGTTGTGGGTAAACACTATATGAAGATTTATTTTCTTCACTAATTACTACCACAAGTAAATAATCAATCATTCTACATGAAATCACAGGAGTTCTATTAGCTTGCAAATGCCAGAGACTAACATACATACATATGTACGTATGTACTATATAATGAAAATAGCATGTGTATAAAGTTGATGGTGCAGCTCTCCTGAACAATAAATTAGATTTCAAGATTAGATGTAATTGTAATACGATTTTTGAGCTATGAGCAATTTTTGAAATCTTTCTGATCAGTATAAGAAACTACCATTTGTG